AGCATTCAATCAATACACATATGTAGCATAATAAGTATAGTAGCATAACATAATCTACCAAGCATAAATATCTCATATAAGACATATAATTAACATTCCTTTACCGACGTTCTCGGTTAATTTGTGATCACATAATTAGTTAGGTCTTTCAAAGCCAAGCCCTCACCAATTATCAACCATCCTGCATGGTATTCATCATAACACAAGGTGTTCATCTTCACCCGTTTACATATTATTCCACATCTATTTCAATCCAATACTATTCAATTAATCAAACATCTACATCCATATTTTCAACGCTCCCGACTGTGCCTCGATCCGAGTTACGGTTCAAAAGTTATAAAGAAAACAAAACGGGGAAAACAAAATTCTGTCATGGTCGTTGTGCAACGCGAAAGGGAGGCTGGTCGCTTTGAGTTCATCGTTCGAGCTCTAGGCGAAGCCTGGACAGTAAATTGATGATGAAAATTAATGATGGAGATGATGATGATGATGATGATGAACCCAAACTCTTCTTCTTCTTCTCTTCCATGAGTTTCTTCTCTTCTCTTTTCCTCTTCCTTCTTTTCTTACTATCTTCTTCTTCTTTCTATTTTTCTTTTCCATCCAATATATATAATACATATATAATATATAATAATATTATGCAATGACATAAATATCTCCATTTGATATTTTGCTATCTAACATCATTTGACCAAATATTATAGTTATAAAAATGTCCTCTCTTGAACTTCTTAATATTGGTTTGTCCCTTTCATCAATAATTGTTCTCTTCAGAGTTCACTAGTTACTCTATTGATCCCAATTGACAACATTCATAACACTTGTGAGCTCCAATTGTTCCAACTGACCAAAGATAGAGTACGTAGGAACTCATTTAATCTCAACTGATATCCAATTGAGCATTTAAGGGAATATGGGGTATTACAGTATTTCACCATGGTTGATTAAGATGACCATGGTGATAGGTAGCACACCAAATATGATATACCATACTATGGCTAGGAATCGAACCCATGACCTTTATATATTTCACAATGGTTGCTTAAGATAATTGTTGTGATAGGTCACACGTCTCCTAGTTTATCATTACAGCCACACGCTTGTGGTCGAAAGCAACATACTTACTACCATTCGTTACCTTACCATGATTGGTTAATCGTGATGGTATTCATTTTCCAACAGTGGTGAAAGGGACTTTACGTAGTAGCGATTTTTATATTGTGTGAAGTAAAAGTTAAGGGAAGAAAGAAGAAACCTGGAATTATACATGTTCATTCAAGAAGACATAGTTTTGTCCCTAAAATTTGATCAGGAGACTATCCAATAAAGCATAAGAGTTTTAGTAACCCCCTATACAAGAAAAATGAAATTTTATGGCTAACTTCCAACCAAACAAAAAACAAATGAGAGAAGCAATTTTTCTTTCTTCCAAATGACGGATTAAAGCAGTTAGTCTTCTATCTAAGCAAAAAATTAAAGCGGTTACTTCCCAAGGTAAACCAAGATTTTACATGAGCTTATCTCGAACCAAGGAGAAATTTTACTTCGGGCTGAGCTCATCAACCGAACTGGAGTTTCGACTGGCTAACCACAAACCAATGAGATTTTATATTGGGCTTATCTCCAACCTTAGTAAGCTTTTAATCGGGCTAAGCTTATGAACTAAACTGGGGTTTTACACAGGATAATCACAAACTAATTTGAGATTTTAATATCGGGTTGATCTCGAACCTATAAAAGCTTTTAAACGGGACGAGCCTTCGAACCGAACCAGTGACTTAGTAACTAAATCCCCAAACCAAAGTTTTTAAAGGGTTTAACTTTGAACACAAATAAAAAAAAATACCAAATTGGATAAGTTATTCAACTAAAGTAAAAAATATTCCTTGGTGAATTAACAATACTAACCTTATAGAATTACACAAATGCCCCACTTGTAAAAGATATTTCTCGAAAGAACTACGACTACATTTCTAAGCGAAAGAAAATAAGAAAATGTGTTTAGAGAGAGAGAGGAGTGAAATATGAGAGTTCATGTTTCTGGATGTGAAAATATGAGGGAAGGGACCTCTATTTATAGGTTAGAGAGGCTGACACAAAAAAGAAAAATGTTTAGGGCCATAATTTATGAGTTAATCGATTGCATTATGCATCAATCAATTGGTTGGCCTAAAATGAATCATTTACAAGGTTTTAAAAGGTGAGAAAAGATATATAGTCATTACCATTTATTAAGACACTAACTTAAACGTTTAGGGAGCATTTTTGCACATACCCATTTGATTGGGTATAAGTGTCATTTGATTAACCAGTACGGAAAAAAATCCCAAAACTTTTTTGACAGCTTCCAATTCAAACGGAATGGCTTTAAAATATTTTTAGAAATATTTTCTTAGGAAATATAAGTTATAAAACTTGTTTAGTGTGTGTTTGATTAGCTGTATAACTTTGCAAGAAAATCCTTATGCTTTTACAATATATTGTTCACTCAGACGCGATAGGGCAAACTTTCGCACTTTATCTCTTTCACACTTTGAAGCTTCAAGACTTGTTAGATGAATCAATCGTACAAACACTTTCTTGAATTCTACTTGAAGATGTGGCTTGAGATGTATTCTTATTTAGTGACATCATCAAAGGACTTTTACAGTGATCATTTGCACCTTTAACCGCTTGTTATGCTTGCACCTTAGTTGTTAGTTGTCATCATCAAAAGCATATCTAAGTGTATGTTGTTAAGATTTTCCTTGATCACTAAACCTACAAACATTATTCTACACGTATAACTCCATTAGTGGCCAAGATCTAAGCCTATAGAATTCCTAAAAATACCTCAACCCTGAAGTTGGGGAGGACATTTAATTCGACCCATAAACACAAGTAGTATACACAACTTCACACCATCCTACATAAGTTTTCTCTAACTCCATAACAATCTTAAAAATTTCTGACAATCCTACATCATGAGAGTTCTGACAATCCTATATCATCTTTTTACATTCACTTTAGCGCGTTTCAATGAGAATTTGTTATGTATTTGATGTGGGTGTGTGTAAGTAAGACATGGAATATAATGAACAAACTCCTTCTTTATCTGATTGACAAAATCACAATTAGTGGACTTTTTTTTATAGATTCTTGTTTCGTGGTCATACTCATGAAAAGCTAATTAGACGTATGTTTGATTTTATGTTTGGAGTAGGGCTGACAATGAACCGAACCAACTCGAAAATAGTTCGAAATTCGATTCGACAATTAAATCGTTGAACTAGGTTCATGAACCAAATGAGTTGAGTATGAGCGAAAAATTAAGTTCGTTAACTAAATGAGCTGAACTTGAACTATACATAGTTCGACTCATTAGGTTCATGAGTCAACTCGATTACATATGAGAATAATTATATTGTCTTTAAGATTAGGTTTAAATATTTACTCCAAATCTTAGACAAGTTTAATCTTCAATTTAGTAGTTTTTGAATTAGACTCTCAAATGTATCTCTTGAAAGTTGTGTAGGTTTTGAATTAGTAGATTTCGAAGATAAAGTTAAATTTCAATATGATAACTTTTATTTTATTTTAATATTTTATTTAAAATATATATATTTATTTAAAATGTCAAATATACTAAAATATATATATATATTTAAAAAAATAGTTTTTAAGTCCGTGAATCATGTGAGCTGAACCTAATGAGATGAACCTAACGAGTTGAACCGAACTGTTCGTGAACTTATAACGAGTCGAGTTTGAGCTTAAAAAAAAGTTCGTGTCGAACTCGAACTCGAACTCGAATAATTCTTAACGAGTCGAGCCGAGCTGAGGTGAGTTCGACTCGACTCGACTCATTTTCAGCCCTAGTTTGGAGCATCCAAAGTTTATTTTGAATATGTAATATTAATTTTGATATATTTGATTGCTCGATTAAATTGATTATGCTTTTTAAAATTGATTATATTTGAAGCTAGAATTTATAACTTTTTAATATAAACGTGTTTTTTAAATCAAAATTTACTATTTCCTCATTTTACAGATATTTATCCAAATATAAGTTATTTTATTTTCAATTCACTCTTAACTCAAATTAATTTTCTCAGAATCAAATATAAAAAGTGATAAAAAGGCTTTTGTGAGTGTAAAGCATAATCTAGAAGACCAAACACATTAAATATTTAAAGATTTTGTAAATTACTTTTTTTTTTCTTTCTATTTTCCTTTTGGGATGTTTAAGGCCAGCAATTACTCCAATGTGCATGTGATGCATTAGGCCAGGTTGATTCAAATATGTTGAGGTTTTTAATGATAAATAATGATTTTGAAAAAATTAATTATGTAAAATTGATTTTAACTAAAACTGAGTCGAATATAAAAATAATATTTATGTAAAAATGAATTCAACAATAAATTTAATATAAAAAATTGATTATAGAAGCAAAAACTATTATAATTTAAATTAGAATCAATTTTAATAAAAAACATTCATACATGTTAAAATCTTAAATCTCTAGAAATCCAGTTCAATGGTAGTGCATTGCATTCCTTCCAGCCATTCAAATTTAGCAAAGAAAAATACCATGTGGTCTAGGTTAATGTTTGAAAAACCGAATCGAACCGAACTTTCATCCACCGATTGAATCTTAAACTAGCATTGTCTACGATTCAGTTATTTGAACAGTTTGATCGGAGTTTCATCCCGGTTCAAATGATTTAAACCAGTTGAATTATAACCCAGATGTATCGTTGGTTCGATTTTAAAAACATCTGTCTACACACTTGTAAAGAAAACCAATATAGAGAGAAAACATTTCACTAAAGCCAAAGAAAAGAAACATAAAATCATCTACCATAGTGTCAAATTTACATGATTAATTACTAGTACCTAAAACAAATTTAAAGACTAAATCAAATTAGTATTTGGTTTAAAAAGGAAGATATTGAAAGGGACAGCAACACAAATTCTCAAACAATGCTTTTTATTTGATATGAACTGAACCAGATTACCAACCCATCAATGTTCTTCTAACTTTGTCCACGATCTGACTTCTCGCTTTACTGCTGTCCAATGGAAATTCCCGACTTTCTTCCAACAAAAACCTGTAGACTTCCCACTGGCGTTCTTGCGTCGAATGTCTAACAACTTCAGCCTACGGTGAAATCAAGACATCATCGTAGAGAAATCATCAAAAGCTGTTAAATTGTTAATGTGTAGTTATTGAACTGTAACTTAAATAAATGCATACCGAGAAAATGAATACTCCCAATGCTTTTAAGGCCAACGTAACGTCGTAGAAAACCCGAGGTCTTCCCTCTCCAGACAATTCTACGGGATTGGCAACCAGTAGTTCTCTATCTGGACCACGGTTAACTATAATTACCCGCAAAGGATGAAGCATCTCTTCTTTTAAGGTTGAGCACAAAGTTTTCTGACGTTCGGGATCTATGATCTTTTGCCCGTCTTCTTTTTGTTGAACAAATAAGTCAATATTTTGAAAGCCTTTCACACTTGAAGTGAATCTACCATAAGCAACCTGATTGAGAAGGACAACGCGAACATAAATAAACCGATTATTATGAACAATGCATGTACAGTCATTGAAGAGAGTATGCAGAGACAAAATACCTTGATATCTGAATCCTTTGAAATCCTCATAATATCATAACACAAGCCCTTCTGATCAACACACTGTATCTGAAGCAAAGTATGAGCCGGGCTCAACGTATTATCCACAGTAACACTCGGTTTCTTCAGTGTTGTCATATCTTGACTGAGAGGATGCAGAGACACCTTGTCTGATAACTCAGGACCAAATAGTTCTTCAGAATAAGCCGGTGGAAGAGAAGAAAACCCCTGCAAATGTCCATCATATTCAGGTCCAGCCAACTGAAGTTCGCTGGAGATACATTTCTCCCCTAAAGCTTCCATAAGATATTCACATACATCATCTCGCCGCTGTTTTGTGTGAAACAATTCCCTGTTTTTTAATATTAGCAAAATTTTAGGTGATATATACATACATGTATGTATGAAGTTATAAAACAAACTCCATTTAAAAGAACTGTGATAAGCTATGCTACAAGGATATGAGTATCGACATTTATCCAATGAGCATCCACTTTTTTTTGGTACATGTAGGAATTTAATTATTCGATCACGTCATTGCTTTATAGATGATATAATAAAGAGAATCCAGCAGAATCAGAATATAAACTAAATCTAAACAAATAAGAATCCGATAAAGCTACACTTACATCTCATCGGTGATAAAGAACAAATCTAGGGCCCTTCCATCAGGAGTTGGCATCACTTTAACTCGCTGAATCGTAAGTTGGAGATTACACAAGATTTCGTTGATATCTACAAAGATAGAACAAAAAATAAATATTGTATTTCATTCCATACGTGACAGCAAAAAAGAGAACACCGATTAGGATCAAGTGCAAGTTGTTGATGCGCGTCCGATTCTTACTGGTAAAGAAAAAGCAAAAGATAAAACACAAGAGAATAGTGCAAGTGTTAAGATAACTAGTTACCGTATAATAATCCTTTCTGATCGAAAATCCAAACCTTCAACAAGTAAATTTGATGTGGTGAAGGATTAGCGGATTGTTGTTTGAAATGATAAGAAAACAAACATGAAGGACAAGGTGAAAGAAGCCTTGTCTTCAAGCTTTCCCAATCAACTTTGAGTGATTCAGGATGTGGAATAACCCAAAAGATTATGTAGCACCATCTTCCATCCGTCGAAATGTCTACATCAACATCAAATTCATCATGAAAACAGATCAAAAACAGCAACAAAATCTAATTACAAATTTCAAACAATGAAAAACCAAAGAATTAAACTATGCACCGATGTTTTTTCTGAAAATTCAATAAGGGTCATTTTTTTTCAATCATGGTTGCTATATGCAATAAAGAATCATCATTTATAAAAAATAAAATCAAAATAAAACAAGCAAATATAAAAGGAGTCGAAAAAAAGGCAGGTTCTATGCAGTGTTGTCTATGGAGGATTGCGGTTCATGGCAAAGATCCAAAATACCGCCTTTACCAGTCGCTTGGTGGCGCTTTCATAGCGAATTATGACAGTAAAATCCGCAATAGCGGCTGATATTTACCATTGCAGTGAGCCCAAAAACCGTCAAATATGTCCGCCATAGCGCCGTCAGTTTTTCACTTTATTTTACAGAATTGATACTTCATATTCCAGATCAGGATTCTCTACCTTTGAATCCTATACTTTTCTAACTTTGTCTCTATCTCTCTTAATCCATCATTTTCTCTAATTAAAAATAATTAAAAGTTTAATCATCAATCTCTCTCCTTAATACACTTAAATCACGTAATTAATCCATTTCTGTGATATCACTGTCTCATACAGAGAACATTGAACTTCTACTTTCGGAATTACACATATCAAAATTGAAATTTCAAAGACTATAAACTCCACAACAGAATTCGCAAGTGAAGAAATCGAGATGAGAAAAGTGAGATACCGGCTCTGGTAATACGGAGACCGAATTCAAGGATGATTCTGCAGAGATCACAGCCGAGACCAGCTTTATCGGGGCAATTCACAGTGACAATTGTTGGCTCGTTGGAGTTCTTGGCGTGCTGGATCACGACGATATCGTCCCATGGGATTCCCATCACTGAGAAATGGTGGATTTAGTGGAGAATTGTAGCTGAGAAGAGCATTGCCGGAGCTCCGGCGAGGATTGCTCCGGCGAACGGTTATGCGAGGTTTGAGAAGAAGAGAGGAAATAACAGAGTGGCAAATAATATTTATGATTATATATAGCAAAAGAAAAAAAAAAATTGTAAAAATATGATTTATAAATAATTTAATAAATTTTTACAATTCAGCTTTTCTTACCCACACAAAATGTTGTATGAATTTTAATTTAGATTTTAATATCTTTAGTGATAGAGACTATATTAAATTGTGTCAAAAAGATATATACCATATTAAATGTCTTAGGTAAAAAAAACCAAGCTAATATATAAAAGAAAGTTAATTGATTTGGTATATTTAGATTAATTAGAATATATTTGTGATTATTAAAATATAAAAAAAATAGTTTAATTATAAATTTTTTTAAAATTTTATATTTATAAATCAAAATGATAAATTCTAATTAAATGACAATGTAGAATGATTTTATTATTTTAATAAAATCAAATTAATTAAAGTTGCCTTTTATTATTTTAAATATCAATTTTATTTCATTCAAAACTTATTCATTGAGATTTGAATTATATTTTTATATTTTATTTATTATTTTTTAATCTCTTCATTTTTATTTAAAAAAAATAAAAATAATATTCACATCTCTTAAAACACTATAATTCTAAAATATACATTAATCTTTTAATAGACAAATATCAATCTTTTCTATAACTACAAATCTTTATAAGTTACTAAAATTTTCTGATAATAAATGTCAATTTTTTCTTAATGTGTTAATAATAAATAAGGATGCAATAAGAAGTTGGTGTATATTTTTAAAATAAAAGAGGTGACTTGTCATTTTAATAAATTTTAAGGAAAATAAGTATAACTTTTCTAAAAAGAAAGAAATTTTGATTTGTTTCTTTTAATAATTTATGTTTTTTAATTTAAATTTTTCATATATTTTGATGGTTCATCTTACTCTTTATCAGTTTTATTTTCAAAGCTTACTTTATCAACTTACATGATAATGTTTATGTTAACATATTTTTTTAATAATTTATTTTTTTTATAAAGTATAATAATTAAATTAAATATATTAGTAGTTACATAAATACTAAGTTCATCTAATTAAATATAGTCATGTCATTAGTGATAAGATTATCTCAATGAAATTGATCTCCAAATAGAATGATGAATAAAGCTTATAAAAGTTAAATAAATAAATAAATAAGAAAACAAACTTTTATAATAAACGATGGAAACTGCCTATAAGTTATTGTGTGGTGATATCGTAAAAATAAATCTTTACATATATATGAGATCTAGATAACGGATCTTAAAGTGAATAATTAAACAGTTTAAAAACTTGTTATTTGTGGCTTACTATATATTGATAATTTGTTCACTTTTAAACCTATATAAAAATATATCCAAATAAATATTATTCTAATTAAAATAAATAAATATCTTTAATATATAAAAACAAAATATTTTATATTGTCTTAATTTTTAAAATATGATACATGTAGCTGTAGAATATGATACATTGACAAAAATATGATATATTTGTTTTTATAAAATAGGATACTTTAGTTAAACTTTTATGGTGATTTTATTTTAATAATATATTATTTTTTATTGTATTCTACTTTATTATTTTTTGGGTTTTTTAAATAACTATTATTTTTTAATTATATATCAAATAAACTAATGTTTTAAATTTATTACGAAAGTAATCCTATTTCAAAATGAATGAAAAAGGAGTCAGCGTTGTGATTGGAATATGCATACACTTTAATACAAATGCGTCATTTGAAAAGACTTATGCTTTATGTGGAGCCATTAAATGTGGCGTATACTTGAAGCATGAAGTGTATGCGCCATTTCAAATAGTGCATCTTTTATTATTATTATTATTATTATTTTGAATTTTAATAAATTTAATTAAAAGATATAAATAAAAGAGAAAATAAAAAATAACTTAAACTATTATTTATTAAAATTAAAGGTTACACTAATTGATTTGAATATCATTGACCCACTTGATCGAAACGTCTCCCGGTTTCACATCTCGACACATTAGCCTGCCTTCGAGGTCTACCACAATTTTTTTTTAGGTGTTTGCATATTGGTCTGAGGAAAATGTAGTTGGTGCGAGGGTCCCGACGTATTTGACATATTTTCAATCATTTGTCCTCAATAGCCAGGGGTTGTTGCCAACGGTGCTGTGGTAATTCAATTCAATGTCCATGTTTTCAAAGTTGGGTCATAGTGGTTGGGTTATGTGAGGACGGTATGGTTGGCCGAATTGGTACATTGAATTGTTTTGGAAACAAAGCAATGGTTCTTTTGGGGTAAGAATGTCAAAAGTGGTTAGGTGGTGGTATGTTTGGGTGTTCATTGATGAGGGGCTATAGTGGGCTGGGGTGGAATCGTATGAATTATCGGGGCTATAGACGGATGTGATGTCGACGTGTGGTTGTTGGCGGTATGGGTCGGGTTCTTGGTGTTGTGTTTGGGAGTGTGGCATGAATGGGTTGCAGGTTTGGATGTTTGGTGGTCGTGTGTACATGGTATGTTGACGTTGTGAGGTTGGTAGTTGGGATTGGATGAGTTAACATTGTTGTTGGGTTTGGTAATGGTGTGGGTTTAGTTATTGAATAGGTGTTTATTGTAGGGCGTATGATGATGAAACTCGTTGGCGCGGGTCGATCAAATATGTCGGCTCAGACACAAATTGTGGCATTGTAACTGATTTAAACTAATTCATATAATGTTGAGTTGGTCTAGCACCTTCCATGATAGGCTCATTTAAGATGTGGTGACGTCGATTCTTCCATTGTCGACGCATTTCTATTGAAAAGTATTTCTAATCTTCATAACCCCATTGTCCATCGACTCTTTGTTGATGCCAGTCTCCCTAACACGTCGGATGAACTGGAATTTGTTGTTGCATGCCAAACTGCAATTTCACTCGGTCACTCTGATGCGTCTCCACAGTAGCGAACCTAATGATTGGTGTTTTTGCTGCCCAGACTACAACATCATCAGGGTTAGCCTCTTGGTCAAGACCCAGATACGACATCTTAACTAAACTGCATAATAGAAATACAAAATGAGAAGATTTGTAGTTTGTTAATTTTTAAGCCAAATTTATAGTAGTTTAGTTGTAATACATCTTCTGGTCCAAGGTGGTCTAAAAGATTGTGATGCACGATAATAACGTGTCTGGGACATCGGTTGTAATTCATCTCCCGAACTGACCATCTAAAACAAAAAAGATAGAAATTTATTAGTTACAATAAACTTTATAGATTGAAACTTTTTTAGTTACAATAAACTTTTGAAAATTTAAAATAAACTTACTTTTTTGCGTATAGGGGAATGTGAATGGCTTCGTTTGACCAGGGTGAGTGTCAACATTCTTAACGAACCATGTGCTTGTAAAAAAAAAGGCGCAAGAATAAAACGTACAAGTATTCTTTTTTTTGCATTTTTACACAACAAACTATATAAATGGGACAAAACAGTTGAACCCCAACTATATGTTCCTACTTTATTTATGTTTCGTAACAACGACAAATAAATAATATTTACTGTATTACCAGTACATTCAGGAAATAAAAAATGACCAAATAAAATCATAATATAACATTGAACTTTAATTATCTTTTCATACTCGGTCGATTCTTTGTTTAATATTAAACTAAAATAATGTTCGTTAAGGTATTTCTAATTAATACATTGACCTCTGGGTTGACCTGAAGTTTGTCACGTAGTTGTGTCTTCACACAGAGGGGCACCCAACAAATCTTTGCATATAGTATTATCCAGGTTAACTTTACCTTAACAACCTTACCATCGATAGGTAGGCCCAACAACATATACACATCTTCTAGTGTGACAATACATTCATCGAATAAAAGGTGAAATGTGTGGGTCTCGGGTCTCCATCTTTCTGATAAAGCAAGAATAAATTTGAAATCAGCAGAGTATGAGACTATGTTAAGTACATGACCAAAACTGCATGATCGTAGGTATAGTTCTATGATTGGGTCGTGTGATACTATTCATGTACACGATATCGAAATCTCTTTACGTTTTAATGAAATATATAAAGAAAATAAGTAAGAAAAAGTAATAAACTACACTCTTAAGGAAATTAAATAAGATATAAAGAAACTTAGAAATGCCACAATATTGTCAATGGTTCCTCGGTGCTCATCACCCATAGTAAGGAAAGATATTTTTTTAAATGGTTTTGAGTAGATGTTGCTGAGAAGGTGGGTAGATTGAGAGTATTTTCTAGACAAGGTAGAGAGATTGAGTATGATGTTTTTGAAATGGTGCGAAACATATGTATATTTATAGATTGGAATGCATGCTTCACGTGATTTTTTTGCATGGCTTCTTGAATGCATGCCCATTTCAAATGGCGCATATGTATCATCATGAATACTTGCGCCATTCCAAACGGCGCATTCTTTTAGAGGATATCATGCAGAGAATCTTGTAAGGAATCATGTAAGGAATCATGCAGAAGAATCATGTATGGGAATCGTGTAAGGTATGCATGCAACAAGAAAACTAAAATAAAGATAGGGACATGCAAGCAACAATAGACTCATGCATGCAACAAGAAGACAAAAATAAAGATAAAGGAAAGTTAGATACATGCATGCAACAATAGACTCGTGCATGCAACAAAATAACAAAATTAAAGGAATAAGAATCTTAGTAGTCTGAACAATAGACTCATGCGTGCAACAAGAAAACAAAAATAAAACATTGCATCAAGAAAACAATAAAACATGATATATAGGAAACAAGAAAACAATAATATATAGAAAATATCACACTAACAGAACTTTATTAATACGTTTCAAACTCAAGTCACATAATTCTATCGAAACTAGCACACTAATATATTGCATGCATGACTCAAACACTATACATGATCAATGCACATATCAAT